ACAAAAAGCACAAATAGTGAACTAGTTTAAATTAAGCAAGGGTAGAAGAGGATGAACAGTAAAGGGTAGAGTCTGTGAACAATGAAGAGTAGAGTGTGAACAATGGAATAATGAAAGGTAGAATGTGAACAATGAAAGGTGGAGCTCAACTATTTAAAATGAATAAGTGAGATAATTAGCATGCAAAGATGGAGGAGTATCGAGAATCTGATCTTACAGGATTGTAGAGTGACGGGTGTGAGATCATTTCCAGAGAAAATGAATTGCTGAAAACACATTTAGAATATTAAAAAATAAAATTCAGTAGGCTAACGGGAGCTTCTCGCTGCTCTATCTATCAAATTCAGATTTTTGTTGCTGTTCTACAGTAAGTCTTCCTTTTTCATACATTTTAACGTAATAAAACATTGATAAATGTGACGAATTTTTCTGATTTATTAAATTAATTAATTAATTAAACATGTTAAACATTAGAAAAAGGCACTATTTTCCACATTATTAATCAAATTAGATTTATGTTTTACGGGTACTGTTGTGAATCAGGCATTGGCATAGAGTGAAACTTGAAAATACGCTTATACAGCCACTTTAAGTAGTATGTACCTAAATGGGGTCGGATATCCATTAAGCCTCATTAAGATTAGCAACCTGTTTTGTGTGTAGTAAAAAAACTTAATTCGAACTGTATAGATGATAGGGAGATAGTCCGATAAAATGATAAGATCATGAAGGACCAGGTTTAATAACTAGTTCTCTAAGCGGCTTACATTTCAGTTCTAATCTTGGCACGATGCAGCTTTAATCTTCTTGTGATAATACTCATCCCGTCCATCGATAAGTTCACAAGCGTTTAAAATATTCAGTATTACTACGGACGTTCGGGAGTCGGCCCCCCCTTGCTGTATCTGTATGTCTTAATTAAAAAATGCTTTGATGCATACAAAAGCAGAAGTAAAGTTACATGAATGTATGTTAGATAGGAAGAACCAACTCTACTCTGAATTCTTCTGTTAAATGATAACTAAAGATGGGCATTGCTTTACTCTAATAAAAGACACAACCCTAAACGATTTATGAAAACGATAAAAAAAACTATAGGAATTATACAATTTTAAATGTGATAAACATTTAAAGTTCTAGAAGAAACTCTGAGCAGTCATAAAAACCGTGAATATTCAAAAACGAACCTAAAAACAATGCCCGTCTCTACTGATTTAATAAAAACAGGAAGTTTAAATTGCATGAGAACATTTTGGATACCAATTACCCAACAACCAAATCAACTTGACATTTTTCGTGTGAAAATTATTGATGCTAAGAACATGAAAAGTTAAAGAAAAAAAATTATCAAAAGGTTAGAAAACTAATTGCAAGAATTAAGACATATTGAGACAACGATTTTTTTATTACAAGACATTATACTCCCTAAACTTTATAACTTTATTCGACTAAATTCCTTTTCAATGTGACTCAAGTTTACAGAGACCGTCTGTATCTACAGCGAGACCCATAAAACTTTGGAACAGAGAGACAAAAAAAAGTTCAGCAGTTTTCTGTGTATTTAATTTTGTTTTAATCTGCAAACATATTAGTCCAGAATACAGTGGGTTCAAATGTTTCCTGGGATATTAATTAATTAGTCAATTTTCTTTACCAGTATTAACTTGAAAATTAACTTATTAAGTGAAATGAGTCTGCAGTATAGACAGTACTGCTTTAAACCTATTCCAGATTTTTATGGGTCCCACTGGATGAATCCTGATCCCGACGAACCGTCTACAGGGATGCAGCGCAGGACGGTTTGATTTGTGAGCTCATGAGCTATCTATTGCCAGGATCAGGGTTTGCAGAATTTACGGGTTAACATATTTCTATCTAACGGGTTGCATGGGTTCGGGGTGGGACTGTTCGTTTTGTTTATTCAAGATTTTAATCTAAAATATTTAGATTCCAGAAGCATCTACCTAGATAATACCACTCCGAGGCCTTTTCAATAAATATATTTTATTTGCAACTTTCGTCACGATATTGCCGGATTCCAGTCATTCGAAATCCATGACGGTGATCAAATGTTCTATAGAAGGAAAATTAAAAAATTATCTTTCTAAAAGGGACTGTCAGCATACTTCCAATTGTGACTCTCCTTGCAAATATGGCAAAACGGTACGCTTAAAAGCTTTACCTGATCAAGGTTAAATTAGATATCAATGTTTATATGCATTCAAAAAAATGATTATTTTCTATCGTGGTAATTCTCTAAAAAGTGACCTGCGTATTTCTACTGCGGGAAAGCATTTACAAATTAACACTTTTAAACCTGAAAAAACGACAATATCTTCCACATTATTGATCAGATAATGATTTCAAGGGTACCGTTGTCAATCGGGCAATGCAATCTTTGCATAGAGGGTCACTTGAAATTACGCGTATAGTCCCTTTAAATTAATTCTATAACAAATATTGTTATACAGTGAAACCCTTAATAACGAATACATCGAAAGAATTCATCAAATGTCGTGTTCTTCACTTTCTGATAATGGAATGTTGCAGATATTTAGTTTTTTAATTAAATGATTATATGGAACTCTTTAAAACTGTTCCCGCATATTCATGGCTATTTATTTATTTTCGCAAATACTGAAATTTACGTAATATAGTATAAAACTCATTGAAAAATTGTCAAGAC